AGAGCTCATGATCTGTTCAATTGTGTCAAGTTGTCAACTGTTTCAACAAGAGTTACATGTGCATATCGTTCAGCCAACTGCCAAGCACAGGATGTTTTGGAGTCTCCTACCACTTCATGCCTTTGACAGCAAGGAAAAGCAAATTAGAGGAAGTAGACGTATAAGGCTCATGGGTACTGCATACAACAGTGCATAGTATCGTCAGTGTTCCACGTTTCGAATTATTCAGAAGTGTGCAGACGGGCGTGTCTCTGAAGGTTTGTGTGTGTGTGTGTGTGTGTGTGAGAGAGAGAGAGAGAGAGAGAGAGAGAGAGAGAGAGAGAGAGAGAGAGAGAGAGAGAGAGAGAGAGGCCTTGCTTTTTTTTTTTTTTTTTTTTTTTTTTTTGTGCGCCGCACTTGGTGCGATGCGCGGTGCGGTGCGCAAGGTGCGTCAGACGTGCGCTGAGGCGCGCACCTCGATGCGCCGCAACTATGAAAAAAATGTTATGCAGAAAAGTAAACTGAACAACTTTTGCCTCAGAGTCACATCGAAATTCTTTACCAAATTTAAGACAAAAAATAATTTTTTAAAAATACTTTTTTTCGGAAATTTTCCCTTTTTTTTTTGCCATGGCCAGGCAAGGGTTCCCGGGCCACTCTGGTAGCCGGAGCCATTCTAAGACGACTCAAGAGGCAACCTGATTGCTCGGGGGCACAAACAAGCCCTCATAACCAATCCATCAGCAAATCCTTTCCTTGGCCTTGAGGCCTCTAGAATCTAGATTGATGCCCCGAGTTCCAATCTCCTATCCAAGATTTGCCCTGTCTTGAATCCCCCACCCCTTCTCCTCACCGCAGGAACCATTTCAAAACCGTCCATAGCTCTCCCAGAGACACACACTCTCTTTTCTTTCACTGCCCCCAGCAATGCCATGCGTGCCCCTCCTCCAGTTCCCAAGACACATTGCCCTCCCACCTCCTCAAGTACCCAACTTTGCGAACCCGTATGCAGTCAACTTACAAATATCAATTAGGATTCAGGAAGTGTGAGGGAATTCCGAGGGAGCAGGACGTACCAAGAAAAATTAACTGGATGGTTGGCAAACAGGGGGTTTACCACAATGAGTGCCCCAATTATTGGCCTCCATTTCTCCAATCATCGTGCACAATGATTGTGAGAGGGTGCTAAACCTATTATTAGCCTCGATTTGTCCAATCATCGTGTCTGGGAAAATCCGAGGGAGGGCAGCAAAGGGCTCTCTGGCAGTGCATTCAGTACCTGTGGGCATCTGGTCCGCATTCTCAACTCCTGAGTCCTGAGGCTGGATTTGATCTCGGCAGTGTCTGCACGTGATTTGTGTAGTTGTGTGCTACAGAAGGATATGCTATACGTGTATGGCCATGTAGATGGTCACGTGTGAGTCGAGCTTGAAGGTTATTTTTGGAGATTGTCGGTGATCTATATGAATTATTCTCAATGTCTAGCCCCCATTGTCCCCCAAACAGTGAAGTAAGGCTCCCTTCTGCCCTTGGACTCTCACATCATCCCCACTGTTGTCCTCTGACCTCTTGCACGCTTGCCCCCACCCCTCACACCTTATGGGTGAGCCTATGCCCTCTTCTCCCCTTGCACACTTGCCCCCACCCATACGTGAATATCCACCCGGCCCACACCCTTCCTGCTTGACCAGCACTTAAGGTAGCTGCTTGCATGTCACGGTGCCTCTTTTAGTGTACCTATGCTTCCATTACGCTCTCACGGATTAAACCCTTCGAACATACACCAAAACGTATTTTCCTGTCTCTGCAAGCCGGCAGGGAAGACGAAGAGCGAGGGCGATCAGGTGAGGCTGTTGAATGCAGGATGCCTGATAGCAAAATGAGGAATGGCAACCAACAGTTGCATGGCCAGTGAATGGGTGCTATTCCCATCAAAGTCGGATGCTGATCATGAGAGGATAAGAGAGTAGAGGAGAGAAGAGGAGAGAAGAGGAGAGGAGGAGAGAAGAGGAGAGAAGAGGAGAGGAGGAGAGAAGAGGAGAGAAGAGAGAAGAGGAGAGAAGAGGAGAGAAGAGGAGAGAAGAGGAGAGAAGAGGAGAGAAGAGGAGAGACAAGCAGAGGAACAGCAAGCAGCCAAAGTGAGTGCACAGCAGCACAAAGGAAGAGGACGCGTACAGCAGTTGGCTGATCAGTGATTGGGTGCTACTTGCCCTCACATCTAAATATTCTTTTAGTCCATCCCATATTTTATTTTCTCTTTCTTCTAAGCCTGTTGGTTGAATGTTGAAGTTGAGAAGACCTAGAAGAGGAGGAGGAGGAGGAGAAAAAAACAGCAAGGATAAAGCTGCCGAAGCGAAGCTAGAAATAACCAACAATGCTACAAAATCATGTCAAAATTATGGATAGCTCACCATTTATGAATAGAATGAGAGTTGTCTTCTTGGCACTGTAATTCGCACTAGAAACGAATCCTTCCAGCTTGAAACGGCATTGGGAGGAGTCGTTGACTTCAACGTGCAAAGGAATCAACTCCCTAGCCACCGATTGGCCAAAGACGGCCCGGATCGTGTCAATACGCGACACAGTAGGCACAGTGTGAACGTCAGCCCTGCTTTCACCAAACTGATTGGCAAACGCACAAATCACCCAAACCACAAAACATCAGTGACACTTGCAACTTCTGACTGGGTTGTTTGCCTTGCTCAGGTACTTTAGGACTGAGAGTGAGAACAGACGTAGCTGTGACGACGTAACGGAGAGGGACAGGCAGTTAATTACAATAGGATTCAAGGATTGCAATGAGTAGGACAGGGTCATATGACATGGCAGCTGTGCAACAAGCAAAGGCACATGGACCTGCGAAGGTCTCATTTCCGTAACACAAAGAATAACAAATGGATAACAGTTACCCGCAACCCGCATCCATAGTCCTTTTTCCTCAATACCCTCCCTCCATCGTCAGCACCTACTCTCTCTCTCTCTCTCTCTCTCTCTCTCTCTCTCTCTCTCTCTCTCTCTCTCTCTCTCTCCT